ATAGATCAAATACATATACTTGAAAAAAAAATCTTCTCACTAAAATTAAATAAGAATAAAATTTTATTTTTTCATTGGTTAATTTTTATGCAAGTCTATACATTAATTGTAACTTTATTTTTGGATATATTCTTATATAAAAAATTAATTTTAAAAAATATATTTTTTGAATTCTTAATCAATATTTCGGGTTTAAATTATTACAAGTTTTTATTTAAGAATCCCCGAATAAAAAAGAATAAATCATGTTTTTTAAGTAGAATTTTTATGAAAAACACACCAAAAAATAGTTTTAATGAAATACAAAACTAATGAAAAAATTATAAAATTTTGAAATGATTTTGTTTTATCTACTTGTATTGTTGCGAGTATTATTTTAAAAATTAATCTTCTCATCAACATTAAATAAGAACTTTTTTATCATATGTTAATTTTTGTAAAAGTTTATCTTTTAATTATAACTTTATTTTTTAGAATACAATATTTTAAAATTTTTTTAATTCTTGATTAATATTTTAGTTAAAATTATTATAATTTTTATTTTAAAATCAATTCATAAAAAAGAATGATTCATTTTTTTCAAACAAAAAATTTATAAAAAAACATTTAAAAATTAATTAAATAAAAATTTTGATTAAAAAATTTTAAAATAATTTTATTCTATTGATCTGATCGTAATGCAGGTAATCAATTAATCAGATTCTAAATCAACAAGGACAAAAATGACCTAGCATCGAAGAGGGAGAATTCATAATATGCGAATTATGAATTACCGAACTAAAAAGCTGGGCGAACTAAGTGTTAGGTATGGTTGACTTAGATTGTACGTGAAAGGGAAGATGGAATTTGGCATAAGAAGAATATGTTGGCTGCTAACATAGAAAATAAACAGTAATTTGATGAAACGCATTTTCCAGGTGTGTGGCCATTAAGCACCAAAGTAGTGGGTTCGGTGTACCATCCTTCGGGACTGGTAGCACGCAAATTTCTCGACGCTGGACAGCAACGGATCCCTCCACATGCACAGAATCTAAAAGAATAAAGGTGCATTTACTTTCGAAAGCAGTTTTTTCGTTTATTTTGTTTGTTTTAAATAAAATATTCTTAAGTTCGTTTAGCGTACGTAGACTTTCGTACCCTTTTGAAAGAACTTTCTAAAACTTGTATTGTAATCGTTAAGATTTTATGATAAACAATTTGTCCCTTCATACATTATTTTTCTCTTAAAAATATCCTCCATTCTTCAGAAGAAATATTAGCCTGGCTATTAGGTAGATTTAAGAAGCATATATAACAATTAAATTTTTGTTTCTCTAAAACATGACAGCATAAAAGTAATTTCCCTATTTTTGTCTTCTCTCTTTTCCTAATTTAATATTTCAGAAAAACAAAATATATCTGTCTTGTTTACATTTCAAATAAAAAATATTTTTTTATTTTTTAATAATAAAATAAAGGTCACATTTGGTTTAATTTTTTTAAAAAATAAAGCCTCCCCAAAAGATAAGAAAAGTGGTAAGTTAGACATAGCTCTTAATTTCTGGAATAGAACACTTGGAAAAAAAAATTTATGTTTAATACTTTCAGAAAATATTTTTTTTCAATTATTCATCTCTATTAAAAAATTATGTTTTGAAAAATGTGGTTACCAACTAATACTTTTTAAAATAGAAAATCTAACCTTTTCGTATTACTTTTTAAATAACAAAAGAACCAAATAGAACTCTTATTTTCTAAGGTGAAGAATTTGAAAAGCAACTTTTGAGAGTTTTGAAGTTTTTTTTAAAAAAATTTAAAAATAGATACACACGCTGTTAAAAAAAAAAAAAAACTATTAGTAAATCTTTATATAATTTTCTGTTTTCTAGAAAAATGTTTTTTCCTAAAAATGGGAAAATTATCTACAAACTAATGAATTCCTTTTAATCTTTAAGGAAACAAGAAAATTTCTCAATTTGACTAAAAAAAAACTTTTTTTAATTAGTAAATATATATTTCTAATAATTTTCTAAATAAATCTTCTTTAACTTTTTTTTTTAAATTCACTGTAAGTAGTAAACATATATATATAAAGAAGAGAATAATCGCCAACAATTTTAATACTATCATAATAGTTTAGTACCACTTACTTATCTAACTCATCTTATAAAAATAAATAAAATTAAAGATAATCAATGACGCATTTTAACTAACTAATTGGGATTGTGTGATGTGTGCTGTATTAATTTATTTATAAATGTATAAATAAAAAATAATATTTATTTATCTAAAAATATAATGCTATATGACATCAATGGTGTAAAAAAAAATCATCATAATTTTATAAGAGTAGTGCTTTTTTAGAAGGATAATGAAGGAAAAAAAATTAAATACTTTATTTTAATAATTATTATGTCATTTAATTTTTTTATTTTTTAAGTTTATTTTGAAAAAATTTTATTTTTAAAAATGACGATGTCGTGAAGGATTTTCGAAAAATATATAACTCGAACGAAAAGTAGATTTTGGTGCAATCATTATGTTCCCTACCACCATGGATCTGTGCGGGTTCTAAATTCATAATATAAAAAAAGGAACCTCTGTTCATTACTTTTGTCACAATCATACATATAAAAACCAAGGACCAGTCAGAAGGGATACATGAGAAAGAATCCAGTTTTTGGTTTCCCTCCATACGTGGCATCGGCGTAGAAAGTGCTTATATTAGTTTAATTCAGAATTTATATGGATTTGTTATAAATGTTGCTCTGTATCTTATATGTTTTGTTATGAGATTAAAAAAATTATTTGACAATGAAGTATTATGTTGTGCTGTGATTAAAATTACTTAATTATTTGGTAATTTATTGCGTTTTTTTTTTAATAGAGTTTGCCATAAAAACACCATTTAGATTAAACATTTTATTTAAAAATTATTAAATTGAATTGTTTCTTTAAAAAATACACAAATATCATAAACAATATATCTAAACAAGAAAAAGAAACAAAAATGAAAACATCACATGTTTTTATTAAATAAATATAACTACTAAGTAATGTAATATATATATATATATAAAAGAAGAAATAAAGAATGAAACAATAATAAAAACATTACATAGTTTTTATTTTTATAAAAAAACAAATAAAACTACTCAATGATTTAATTATAAATGTAATAGTAGTGTGTGTAAGAGTAAACTACAGTATAGCTTTTTATTTTTTTTGCAAATTTAAAATATTTAAAGTTATTATTATTATTATTTAATAAAATAAGCAATCATTCATCTCTAAAAACATCACTTCTCATGCTTTTTGAACCAATATACTTTTAACCTATTTATATAAACATTTTATTTTTAAAATCTTTACAAAACACTTTTTTTAGCTTTTCATTGCTTTGTTTTAAAACTTAGTAAAGCAAGAGGCCAAATATAGGCCAGGACATGTGGAGCTAGCAATTAGATATTGTTTAATAAAAATTAAGTTTGATTACATATGCTTATCAAGTTCTTGTATTGAATTAGAATATAAAAAAAACGGTTATTGAATTTCAAATTATTTATTTTTAATATCATATAAAGACACCAAATTAAAGTCAACTTAATATCAATACAAGACATTGTAAATTAAATCTTAAAACAAAAACTCTACATTAAGGAAATCTCAAAAAACCTTAAATATTTGATTTTGAAAGAAGTGCAAGAACATTTGTTTTTGCAACTGACATCACACTCTAGTTTACAGTTATTAATGGTTAGAATTACTCTAATTCATTTACTTGTCCCAAAGATTTGTTGTGCTGAAAGATCATTTTTTATCTTCCATAACTGTGAAATTGTCACCTCAGATCAAGAGATTGAAACATGAATTCATACACGAGAAGCTATGAACCTTTTGTCTTGGATATAAGGTCATAAACTAGAAGTGATTGACCTCATGTTTACGAGGTCTACGGTTATGTCAATGTATTACAATAACAATGTCTTCAAATTTACGAATAATAATAATATAATGCTCAAGACATAATAAAAGTAGATATTTATTGGTTTGTAATTACTCAATAATAATAATTTCTTTACAATTTAAATAGTTTTTTAAAGTAACAAGCAACTTTTTTTATTTTTATTTTATTGAAATCATATTTAAATTGTTCACAATTATCATAATTACAGAACAGTTATAAAAATAAAATAATCTTTTATAGTTCATTAATGGAATATATTTAATTGTTTGTAATCACTTATTTATTATAAAAAAATATTGTTTATTTTTCTTATAAAGATAATAATTTACTTTTTAAATCGTAATTTTATAATATTATTAATAATTAACATTAAATTACTGAATTGGAAGATAAATTATTACATACAATAAATATAAAAATTTAATAGTTTGTAATTTGAAGTAAAACCATATAAATTGCCCATGGTTTTTGTACAAAATCCAAACAGTACTTTTATGGGTTTTTTTTTTTTTAAAATGAAAAATTTCCTTTCTTTTACAAAATCGTCACTCAATTTAAACTTCTCTCAGTTTAGTCTTAAAATTTTATATTTTCACATTTTAGTATTACAACCTGACATTTAATTCCAACATTTCAATTAGTTAATCGTGTGACTTCCTATTAGCTTTCTCTTACTATCTTTTTAGTTTTTTCTTTGTTTTTGTTGAAAAATTTTTCATATATATATATATTACATTTAACATAAGCTTAATATTTAAGATATGGAATAACTATTCTTTCTTAAAGAGGAAGAGAATTAGAGTAATTGAAAGTGTGATTGATGTATTTGAATATAGATAGCCATAAATTACTACAATGTATGAGATATTCCGAGGACAACCAATTGAAATTTTATTTTGTTTTGAGAGCCAATTGAGAACCGGCTAAAAAGTGAGGGATAAATATGTCTTTTCCTCATCCGTCCACCGCCTCTCCCTTCCGAGTTCCAACCATAGCAACAAACAAAACGGTCCAATAATCCGGAAGAAAGGAACACTCAAACACCCAAACAGCAATGCTCCTCTCCGTAATCCCTCTCTCAAGCTCAAACTCCCCTCCCCTCCTCCTTAATCACACTCTCACTTCCACTTCCACTCCCACTCCTACTGCTACTAACCTCGTCTCCACCTCCGCTACCCTCAAGCCACTCCTCCGAGCCTTCTCCGCTCCCTCTTCCTCTTCTCTAACCACCAGCAACGACAATCTCGAAAATCCTATCCATCACGTGACACACACGCTCTCAGATAATGATGAGGAGGAAACTGGAGGAGGATCGGAGTTGGTGTCTTCGGCATCCGCCGTTGCTTCTGCTATTCGAAGAGGTTCGAGTTCTCCAGTGGAGTTTGTACAGAAAATAGAGAAGGATCATAGCAACAACAACAACAACAAGACCAAATTGGTGCTGCCCAGCCCTGATTTTCAGAGACTTTGCGTCCAACAACTCGACCTCTTTCGCAGAATCGTCGATCCCGATGCTATTCTTTCCGTCTGTCTTTTTTACTCCTTGAATTCTAAGTCATTTTCACATTCATTTCCTTTACATTATATTGGCTGATTAATTTGTATTTCTTTTTCTTTTTAACTAATTTTCAAGGTATACGTGAGGCCGGCAGGTAGTTATGTAATGGACCGTTTAGAGCTCCGTCGAGTGTCGTCGTATCCCGGAGTGAATGCATCATCAGCTGAGATTGTGATTTTAGTTGCTAATTTCAGTGTCCCAACTGGATTACGTGCTGCAGAAGCTGCACTTTCTAGTAAACAAGTAGGTTGTTTTTTTTTTAATTAATTAATTAATTATTCATTTGTATTTCAATAAATCACTGTTGATTATTGTTTTGGACAATGATTCGTAGCCACCCGCTGAGTGGCAACAGTATAGCTGCCAGCCCCTGGTTTGGCAGTATCTTTTATGAATCGTTGCAGTGCTTTTGGTCATTCTGCAGTAACATTTTGCAAGGTGCAACAAGCATCGGTAAGTTATTGCAGCATGACCGAAAGCTACTGCAGCATCATGGGGTGGATACCATGCGTTTCCCCTATTGTTTAGTGCGTTAATGTTGATTTGTACCTTTTGTAGGTAGAATGTGTGCCTGAGCATACAGCTGTTGTGTTTCCAATGGTAAAGCACCCGTTTGTTGTTGGGTTCTTGGTTGCTGAGCTACCGATGATGGAAACGGACATATCGTGTGCAAATAGGCAAAGCGATTTGATTGACTTGCCATCTCCTGAGGAAGCCTATGCTTTGCCTTCTGCCCCCGATAAAAAATCAAAATTGTGGAACATCCAGACTTTAAATGACGAGCCATTGAGGATGTTTAACTTTACAGCTGAGCAGAGATTGAATGCTATCAATATCTCGCATACTCTAGCTATGGCTTATGTTATGGATCAGGTAGCTTACCATTGTTTTTCTGACTCTACTGTTATTGTAAACAAAGATTGCGGAGAGCTTCATTGAGACAATGTGTTACTCCATACGATCTCGTTTTTCTACATGCATAGAAATTCCATTTGTTAGTCGCCTCATTTTCAGATACTATAAGATGCAAGCTCTAATGATATGCTTTTAACTGGCCATTGGACTATTTAAAATTCTTATTCTTTTTCATGGATGTATTCTAGCCTACTTTAAACTACGGTATTTTTTTTTTTTTTTACTCACACACTCAAGGCTCCTAGCAGAACTAGTCTATTTTAAACTGCGGTATTTGAATTCTATGTGTTCTAATTAATACATATACAAGTGTAAGACCGACCGCATTGGCAAGATAAAGTTTCTTTTTAGGTTTTTGAGAATCCTCTGGATATTTTCAAGCTCAATTCTAGTAGGTTGTTAATGGTTCTTTCAATTTCTTTCACTCAGATTTGGTTATCCTTGTTTATTGCCCTCCACATTATCTTGTGTTTTTGGTTGTTTTTTTATGGAGAAAGTGGTTTTTCTAACTGGCATATTAGATGTGACTCTTTTGCTTGTAATTTCATATGAATTTGTTAATAGTTTGGCTTATTAGCTTATTGATTCCACAGAAAGCATTGTTACTGCAGCAATCATCATGGCAAAATAATGTCAGAATGACTGCTCTGGTTGAGCAGGTAAACTGTAGTTTTCAAGTTATCTTGCAATAGTTCTTTTTTTGCATTTTAATTTTGAAAATCAAATAGTAAATTCTCACAGATATGGTACTGGTGATTCCTTTTGACCAAAAATTCTCACAGATTCGTGGCCCTCTCTCTAGCATTAGAACTCTAAGTAAAATGTTATCAAATCACACGAGCAGAAGTGAGGTATGTGCAACATAACGCTGAATTTTAATTTTTTTTCCTCCTTCGATGTTATATTCATGTGAACAAGTTATGTTCTTGCAGGTTGCGTATGACATTGTTGAAGACATAATGGTTCAAGGTGATCATATGAGAGACACCCTTCAAGAACTCCAGGATGCTGTTTACTTGACAAAGGCACACTTACTCTCTCTCTATTTTTTTGAGTGTTTGTGTGTGTGGTCTCATGCCTTATGAATTCTGTTTTAGCGTGCTTCTAGAATGTAATTGTTTTTTTCCTTTCGATATGGTTGTTTTCTGTTGAGGATTACATGTTCAGTTGCTATTAATTCCCTATCATTGCTGTTGATTTGTTGTAGTTTCACTTTCCATTGCGTTCAATTGTCTCTAAGTTTCACAGCCTACAGTAGTTGGAGTAACAAATTCATAATGAGATTGCTGATGATGTAGAGATTGTGGAATTTGAAAAACCAAAATTCTCTTTGTGATTCTACAGGCCAATATAGTGCGGCACAATAAAGAGACATTAAAAAAAATTCACAAGTCAGCTTATACCCATCCAGAGTCAATGAGATCTCAATTACCAGATAACTTCCTGAATGATAACAGCAATAAGTTGCAAAGTTCTGGCAAACCACGTTCTCTAAATCCTGCATCCAAGGACTCAGAAATGCCCATGCCACCTTTGGCTCTTGCTCCTCTACAACAACATGAAATACGGTAGGTTTTAGCCTTGCATTAAATCCTCAAGTTGAGTGATACATTTTGATAGCATTTGAATGGGTTCCGGACATTCAAAAATGTGACATGTAACAATAAATTATATTCTCTATTTGGGCACACATCTGTCTGCTTGATTTATTTATTCTTTTTTCTTTTTTTGGAGGGGGAGATTTACAGAGTACTTGAAATCTAAGTCTATCTAAGTGTTTGTTTCACCCTTATCTTTTGAAAAAAAAAAAAAAAATCCTCTAGCTTATGTTTGTAATGTGTCAGGAAGACCATGCAATGTTTCTGAGGTGCTGTCAGATTTGGTTGAGGCAGCGAGACCCCTTGCCAATAAGCAGCAGCGTATTCTAGAGCTCAGTGAACTTTCTCAATCTCTGCAAGTTGCCGTAGAAGAACCAGCTTTACGTCAGGCTTTGAGCAATTTAATCGAGGGTGCCTTATTGCGTACACATGTTGGTGGCAAGGTTGAAATTGTATCTTCTGGAGCACCAGCAGGTGGTGGTCTTGTAGTTGTTGAAGACGATGGCCCCGATATGCACTACATGGTAACAATTGCAACACTTCCACTCCAAGATTTTCTTTATTTCAAATTAGTGATTTTGAATCTCTTGGATTCTCTTTAATTGTTCACTTCCTAGATGGTTTGATGCTTTGACATACCAAACAGTGAGCATATTGAATCCTTAGAAAGTAGTATCAGCTTATGGCAGAATTGGAGGCATGGTAAGTACTGGGGAATTATAACTTGATTAGTTTTGTGATCTGAAGTATAATCTGTTACCTTCCTTCTTATGAGGGACTTAAAAGTAAATAAGTGTACTTCAGAATAGATAGGAATGACAGGAAATCAAAGGTCAATTGCAATTTTCTTGTTCTAATTAAGATACTGGTTCAACACACTTTCTAGTGTTTAGTTACTACTGCATTAAGTGGGATCCTCACTAGTCACAATGTTCAGTGTCCATGATGCAGAATTTTTTTTTCTTTGCATGCAGTCTAACTCTTATATTTGTTTTCATTTTCCAAATGTTACAATGTTACGTCTCATCAGGAGCGCACCTTCCATCAATTTCTTTTCCATGTGGATACTTGAAAAACGCAAGAAAAGAAATGAACAAAATCATGTTGTTGTTCACATAGCACCTTTATTACTTGTGCTTGAACTGCAGCCTTTGTTGTTGATTGGATTTAAGTGATTTGCCTGTGAATATGGATGCAGACCCAGATGCATTCACTTATACCATTTGGGGCAGAGCTCTTCTCAGAAAACATGGTTGAAGACAACATGACATGGAATTTTGTTGCTGGGCTGACTGTTGCTCGTGAGATACTTGAGAGTTATGGTTGTGTGGTCCGTGTCATATCACCTCGAATCTCAGATGCAGCCCTTGGTACGGGGGAACCAGGATAGAACTCTGGCTTCCTTCTTTTGCTGCACTGTCTGATCTAAGTGGCCGTGCTCACGAGACTTAGCAATAAAATGGCTTTGACACTGGCAGGATTGAATGCTTGCCTGAAATTAAGAAACAGGTCTGTATGCCTGAATGCTTATTTTGTAATTTTGGGGTCTTTGCCCCGTCCAGTGTAAACACCCCCACCCCAAAAAAAAAAAAAGAAGGAAAAAAAAGTACAAATTAGATACAACAAGTTGGTCATGGTCGTAGGATTTGGAATTTCTTTTGGTTCAAGACTTTCATGGTCCGAAGCGGCAAAACATGAGCTGTAAAGATTTGCTGTATTCTTAAGCAGTATATGCAATTGACTGTAAATATAAGCATTTTAGTCTTTTGAAGTCCATTTATTCCATAGCATGTCGCGACTGGTGGCGGCTGAAGTTGAACTGGTTGCTGCTGCTTCTATTTCAGCTGGTCATTTGTGACATTTGCATGAACATAAACTAGCCAAACTCATTCTGGATTAGAATTGAATTCCAAACTCATGGCGCCTTAGCTTTGGGATCTCAGATTAAAAAAATTTGAAAAATTGGAGTTCTTTGATCAATCAAAAGTACATTTCGTTTTCTCGGTCCTGCTAGTAAAAAATATTGGCCTAAATAAACTAGCCAAATTGGAATTCTCAATGGTTTTGCCCCTATTTTTGTTGTACCTATTGGATCCAAAGCTAGACATTCATTTCCCTCCAAGTCCAAACAAAAGTACACATTCAAAGTTTTGACCATTATTATCCCCTAACGGCTCAAACCCAAAAAGAAAGATACTAACTGCTATACCGTATTCTTTTGATTATTTGACCCCCTTCTCTTCCGCCCCGAAATTAATTTACTTTGACTCCCAAACCCTTCCATTTCTCTCTGTTTTTTTTTTTTTTTTTGGCATTTATAGCCGTTGAAGGCAGCCTAGCTCTTCTCTCTTCTCTCTAGCTGTTGCAGGCAGAAATGGACAAGAAACCCACTGAAGGATTATCATCAGCTGCTTCTTGTAATTCTTTGAAGCGAAAGAGACCGCCCATGATTGAGATCCCAAATGTACTCCAAGAAATCCGCACTATTAACAATAATAATACTAGTAGTAAACCCCATTTCCAAGATCTCACTCCCAAGAACGCTGTCCTTTCTTTCAGTGGGAATGGTGTTGCTGTCTCTGCTATCAAAGGCAAGAAAAAGTTCATGGAAGATACCCACAAGATTGTTTCTTGCTTGCATGGCAACTCAAACCAAGTAAGCTAAACTTTCTCTTACTACTGGGTTTTCTTGACTTTCCATATATATATATATATATATATATATATATATATATATATTGTTTTTCTGATTTTTGTTTTTGGGTAATGTAATACGTAGGAATTTTTTGGAGTTTATGATGGGCATGGAGGCAAAAAGGCAGTGGAGTTTGTTGCAGAGAATTTGCACGCAAATATTCTTGAAAAGATGGTGAATTGTGATGCAGGGAATGTTTCCAAAGAGGAAGCTGTTAAAGCTGGGTATTTGAAAACTGACCAAGATTTCTTGAAACAGGTATCGTCCCTTTCTTCTTGCTTTCTTGTTCACTGATCGTCCGACATCTGGAGAATTTGTTCTAATGTTTGATGATATTAATATTTCCTGGAAATTGGATTATATTTAAATTTTGTGTCAATTAATTCTTCTGGTTTGTAAGGATAGTAAACCATTTTAATTAGAATTTTGATTATTAATTGTGCATAATTGGAAAGCTAAAGCCTACTGGGTTTTCCTGGTCCAAAAAAGTTGCGCTAGTCATAGCTTGGAGAAAGATAATTGACTGAAAAAGAATTATTTGTGAGAGAGACTACGTGCAGCTTGACTTAATTTTCTGTCGGTCTGAATTATGTGGAACTCTTAATTCTTCTTTCTAAACTGGATGTAAGTCTTGTGTGCCATGATGCAGAATTCTGTGATTTCATTGTCAGGCTAACTCCCTAAAACCTCCAAGGACTTGATCACAAGTCTACTCGGGTCTCAGGCTCAGCTAAGCTTAAGACTGACCATTTGAGTACTGGCTGTACCAATCCTGTCTATAGATTACATTGAATCTACAGCCGACTTCCATTTTTCTGTATGCTGATCACAGAAAATTACGGACATCCAGATTAAATAATTTTTTTCTAGGGGATTAAGGTTTACAAATTTGGTTTTGAACAGTGAATTGACTAACTTGAGGATGAGATTCTAGGTGGTTGTTCAAAAGACTAAATTTGAAGCTGACATCAATTTGCTTGATATATATATATGTGTGTGTGTGTGTTTGAGATTGCATTTCAACATCGTCTTTCTATCTCATTTTTATATATCCTGCTGTGTATATAGCTTGAAAGAGGAGGGAGTTAACTGTTGGTATAAGTGCAACAATGATGAATCTTCTTCGTTTGCACCACCCCTACCATCTTTCTTAATCAACTTTAGAATAATTGCTGAATAGTGTCAATAATGCAGGGTTTAGTCAGTGGCGCCTGCTGCGTCACAGCCTTGATTGAAGGGCAGGAGGTTGTTGTCTCAAACTTAGGAGATTGTAGAGGTGTTCTTTGTAGAGGAGGAGTAGCTGAAGCCCTTACAGAAGATCATAGAGCAGCACGGGAGGATGAACGTAAAAGGATAGAGGATCAGGTATGGTTTATACTATCGCAAAACCTGGTAGTGAAAAATATGGTAGTAAATACAGTAGCACGGTAGTGGTTGTGGATAATGACCCATGGCATTCATTAATAACGTGATACAGGGAGGATATGTTGAGATCCATCGAGGTGCATGGAGAGTTCATGGGATACTTTCTGTTTCTAGAAGCATTGGAGATGCTCATCTGAAGGACTGGGTACTGGCTGAGCCAGATACAAAGACATTGAAGCTGAGTCCGGACATGGAATTTCTGGTCTTAGCTTCTGATGGACTGTGGGACGAGGTGAGATGGGCAATGCTCATTTTGAATACTTTATGCACAAACTTTGATCTTGGATGTAACTCATATGAGTATTGGTATTGGACAATTATGTATTCTCTTGTTTGTCTTCATTTGTTGAATTCATTTCTTTTCCCTTGGTACACTGGATTAAAAAGTATGCTTTGTAATTTCAAATGCATTGGCTAATGGGATAGAAAGTTTGTACTTAATAATAACCCATTTAAGTTTTTGCTCCTAACCAACAAGTTGTGAAAATTGAAGGCCACTTAATCTCAATTATTAGTATAAAAGCATTTCGTACTGGGTTGAGCACCTTTTCTCTACTGCTGCAACATTTAGGTCCTGCGGTAGTGCCTTGTGAATTTGATAGACAGAGTTGACATTTCTATGGTTTTATGAGGCCATTGACTTCATTGCTTGATTTATGATATTGGTGGCTAACTCTATTTCTGTAATTTGCTCCCTAGGTTGGGAACCAAGAAGCTGTTGACATAGTAATTTCAATATGTATGGCTGAGAAGAAAGTGGGAACCACAGAAGATGTTCTGGAAGATAATGATGTTGATTATGGCTGTGTAAATGTAAGTCCTTCATCAAAGTTGAAGCGGATTTCACTTGTCAAGCGACAAAAGGAGTCCAGACACTCACCAGGCTATAAGAAGAAGGCTTGCAGCTGGAAAGAGAATGAAGATGATTTTGCATGTGAAAATGAAAGTCCTCCGACAAAGTCAAGAAGAATCTCATTGGTCAAGCGGATAAACATCAAGACTGAGTCTCCTAACAAAGAAAACAGTTCCAATAAGAAGAGACCTGCCTCTGTGGTGCTTGAGGATGCTTGTAAGGAGCTCGTGAACCTTGCCGTGAGTAGGGGTAGTTTGGATGACATTACAGTGATGATAATTGATCTGAATCGTTTCAGACAAAACAGTTGATCTTGTGGGCTAATTGAACCATTCATGTTGCTTCACTACAAAATCTAGAAGATGCTGTAATATCTGTAAAATGGCAAGTGCCGAGGTCTTAGACGACAAGAATCGTAAAAATCCATATAGAAGATCATAGTATCTTGGAACTGCCAATGTGGCAGCAAGTTCCATTTGCATTTTCCTTTATCTTCTATGCGCTTTCCAGCTCAGTTATACTTCTTGGGAACGCATACTGGCAACTGATATTGACGATTTTTTCAGGGCCATTTGCTCTCTAATTGTATTGTCATGAATTAGGACAAGCCAATTGAAAATTTTCAATAGGCTATTTTTCAGTTCACCATTTACATTGATAAAAATTTGAAGATGTATGTTTGAGCTTTTCTTCTTCTTCTTCTTCTTCTTCTTTTTTTTTTTTTTTTTGTTTTTTTGTTTTTTTGTTTTGGTAGTTGTAGGATTATAAGATGAGGATGCCAGATACCTCTGTTTCCAGCTATGGCTGAAAAGATTATACAGTATGCTTTAGAGTGTGCAAAACACTGATGTAATGTATTACATAAAATCATTTCAAAGGAAGGTGAAAGTTGAAGGATCAATTTGTATCATGATTCCAACAAGCCTAAAGTTGCTGGAAATTATTTTCAGAAATCACAATTAGTCCTATTCGAAGAAATTAGGTCAAATCATGTCTTACCAAAGTTCTTAATTTATGCATAAGGGTGAATTAAGCTCTCTAGTCTGTTGCACGTACTCTAGTTGATTACATTATTCAAATTCTAATCTGACAAGTAATTATCTCCTTATGCATCATCTGGGCCTCTTTGTTTTCCGCATACTTGTCTTCTAGGTAAAGAGGGAACCAAGAGCTGGCCCAGCCCTAGGTTCCTCTGGTTTTCAGCATTTGTTGCCTCTCGAACTAGATTCCTTACCTAATGCAATAGCTCTACCGAGAACGTGAAACGCTAAAGGAAAACCAGAGGTAAAGAGGTACAAATACAAGTACATATAACATTATAAACAATATAGCTGGAAAATCCAAGTTTCTTTCTACATCTTGTTCAGTAGCTTCTTTTTTCACCCCTCTCACAAGCTCCCATACGGAGAGTAGCTTGACTCTCTTCCCCACATCAACCTTTTTTGTTATTTAGGGAGTACGCTTTCGCAAGAAGCTTCAAATGTGAGGAAAAGGGTTTTCGCCCTTTTACCATACGTAAAAAGATGATAGTAACCCATGATTGAACAAACCCACTTTAAGAAAGGGGGAAAAAGGTCAAGCTGATTGGAAATGGAAAGAAGTAAAAGCAAAAAGGCAGTTAGAGATTGAAAAGCTTGCACGAGTTGTATATAATGGAGTCTACAATGTGTTGCTTTTCCTACTTTCTTACTCCTCTATCTTCAAAATAACAGCCAGTTTGGAAATTGGTTGTGGATGCAGTGAGGACTCTCTTGTAGTGTTGGTATCTGACACTCTCCCTAGAAAACAACTAGCCAGTGGCATCCACGAACAGACCTTGCGGCGAAACTGAGAGATCTTGATCGAACCCAAATCTCTTGAACCGTGTCTCTCCCTCTAGTTAGTTTAATCAAGCATTTTAATCTATCCTCCGTTTCTATCTTATTTTTTATAGTATATAGAGTGCATATATCATGCATGATTCATTAGGTATCCCTGCCTGCTTCTCCTTCGGTGAGAGGCAAACTGATGAGCCAGGGGCTGCTGTAACCAGGTCAGGCCAGAGTGTTTTTGTTTCTGTGTATCGAACAAAGTTAGCTAGTCACTGCCGTTTGATCACCGTTACATGGTGCAAGAATTTCTTGATGCATGGCTTGTCTATTTCTTTTCAAGCTACGACTGAAAACGAGCATCATCTGTGCAAGGTTGAACTCAAGCCATGGTACTTCTGGAGAAAACAAGGTTCGAAACAATTTATAGTAGATGGTAGGGCTGTCGACGTGGTCTGGGACCTTAAGGCCGCAAAGTTCAATGGGGAGACAGAGCCACAATCAGACTACTACGTTGCTATTGTCTGCGAAGAAGAGGTGGTTCTGCTTGTTGGAGATTTAAAGAAAGATGCCTATCGAAAGACAGGTTGCAGGCCTACTCTTATTGAGCCGATACTGGTGTCAAAAACGGAACATGTATTTGGCAAGAAGAGATTCACGACTAGAGTTCAGTTTATGGAGAAGGGAAAGTTCCATGGGATTTCAATTGAATGCAACAATGGTAGTGGCAGTGACAGCACAATAATTGGTGCCCCATTTGATACTCAACTTGAGATAAAGGTAGATGGGCAACTAGCTATTCTAGTAAAGCATCTTCAGTGGCAGTTTAGGGGAAATGAGTCCATCCATGTGAATAAAAGCACTAGAGTAGAGGTTTATTGGGATGTGCATGACTGGCTCTTTGGTTCAGGCCCAAGGCAAGGTCTATTTATATTTAAGCCAGTTTCATCCCCTCCATCATTGTTGTTGACTCAAGAAGAAGAGAATTGTGGCTCAGTAGAGAATGATAATACAGGTGGGTCATCCAGCTTTTGCTTGTTTCTGCATGCTTGGAAAGTAGATTAATGAAATCATGTTGCATAAGTTGCCTACTAGCTAATACCATGCATGATCAACAGGAATATAATATCAGCCCTGAAATGATCTGATCATCAACTCCTAGCTAAGCATTAAATTAAGAAGGATGTCGCATTTATCACTGATCATTTTGGAATGGAAATATAATCAATTAGATTGAGGCTCCGAGAGGGGGGGGGGGATGATGTCACAGAGAGCTGGGAGGATGGTGGGAGGTTGGCTTGGTGAACAGCATGTGGGTCCAAATAGAGCTGGAAGTTTGTCGTAGCTTTGTAGACAAGAATAGGCAAGCCAGATCGGATAATGCATGAATGCCCAATAATTTCCTAACTTTTGGTTTTTTTTTTTTTTCTTTTTCTTATGAATGCGTATCAAAAAGGGTCAAGCCTATTTCCATGGAGGAATGTGTGAATGACTGAATCCAGCCAAGGCAGATGATGTTTGGAAGGATAGGCAGTTGATGGAGATAGACTTATACATCAAATTAATTACGAGACTCTACTCTGTACGCATGTGTGTACTCTTCAATAATACAATGCCTCCTTTTCTCAATATTGTTCCTTTCTTAATACTTATATTGTATCCTTTAATGTTCCTAAATGAATATGAGTGTGCAATTATATTTTTTGTTCTTCCTTAAGCGTGCTAAAATAAAATCATGCTCATAATTTTTGTAGTTCCTTAGTGTGCTAAATTAAAATCATGCTCATGTATTTTGAATTTGATGATATAGATTTAACAAATATTATCGAGAAGCTAAAACAAAATGGAGTTTTTCTGATGCTAACCTCATGTTTTGGTATTTTGTGACATCAAAATAGTGTCGTTTTAAGTCTTTTTGGCATAAGATTTTTCTACATATAAGCTTTTATTTTGGCATTTATATCATTAAAATAACGTTGTTTTAAGTTTTTTTTTTTTTTTTTTAGTGTAATACTAGAAGAAGAATCTCAACTAATTAACACAAGAAACTCCAAACTCTAATGTTTGCTATGGGATATGTTATTAAGATTACTATATAAATGTCTTAGGCAAAATCAATTATGAGCATAAGACTCTTCCCATTTTGAACCACATTTATTAACTATAGTTAAGAATCTCGAGCATGACGATCCGATGTTAAACAAAGACATCTATGATTATGATTAGTGACGTTCTCTCTAATATAAGCTAGAAACCAACTCCAATTAAATATATATATCCTCCTCAACAATAGCAAATGCAAGTGGAAATAGATGTCCATTCGTTTAGCACTAGGTGATGACTTAAAAACGTGATTTAACTCACATTCCCGAGTATATAAATCAAATAATCAATTTTTTTGAAAGTCTCTTAAATGTCGAATAACGACAAGAATGAATATTTAACTTGATATTTTTGTTCATAGTTATATAAGGATTATAGGTAGCAATACATGCTAAATACTTATCGATTGCTCGTATAATGCAATTGTAAAATTTAGTTGCTATTCAAACGATTTAAAAAATTCTCTCTTTTAACTTAGGAGGTATTTAATAAAACTGAAAATTAAGTACTCGAATCTATTAAGTATTGAATTTTAAGTACCGAATATGTTCATTACAAGTCGTTTGGTATTTACCGAAAATTAAGTATTGAATATAATAAGCTTATTTGATAAGTACTTGTTGCTGAATATATTAAGGTTATATATATGATAATTTTAACCTTGATGGATTTAAAGGATATCAATAGAAAATTGTACAAAAAGAAAAAAAAAACATTGATGATGATGGGATTAAAAATTTTAACTAGTTATTTCTTCCTATAACTATGGTTTTGCTAGTCCTAAAATTAGGTGTCTACATAGAATAAGAAGTGACATACAAGAACAGGAAACATGCATGTGTGTGGAAAATTCTCTTTAGATCAACAAAAATCAATATAAGTTTGTTACCTAAAGAAATTATAGACAAACAACAAATCACACATATACACAAGATTTAAGGCAATTTGACAATTCAAGTTTACTTCACAAACGAAGATGACCATAGAATTTTACTATGAAAATAATAATAATAATAATAACAAGAGATTAGAACAGATTACTCCCAAATTTTCCTTCACCCAAATCCCAAAGCATACCCCTTTCACTCAAAAACTCCAATAGCCCAAACCAAAAGAATCTTGAATGAATGCTCACCTCTTCCCAAACATAATAATCAACAAAGTGATGAAAATACTCGATTGACATAATTGAATTATATATAGTGTCCATGTATTGTAAGTTTATGAAATTTTATAAAATATTTTAATTAATGTAACAAATTTAAGCAAATGAAATTAAAAAGAATCAATATTAATTTTGATTTTTTTAATTTAAAATGTATTTTATAGTATTTAAAAAAGACATGTGTATTTTATGTTTGAATTTAAATATATTCTATTGATATGTTTGATTTTTTTCAATAAAAAAAAATCACTAAAATAATTATAAGAATCGGAAAATGAATCCTAAAACGATGTTAAATTAACTTTTATTGGAAGAACATTTAATTTAGTTAATGAGTCCATAAAAAATCATAATAAATAATAAAAGGATATTAAAAAAAAGAACAAGAAAGGAAGCCTATTTAAATAGAATTATGAAGAATAGTAGATTCCTATTTAAATTAGTTGTCTTCTATATATATATATATATATATATATTTGCTATCCCTAAAATTTGGGTGTCAACTTAGAGAATAAAACAGTGAAGCCTGAGTCGCCTAGGTTTGGAAGCGGATCCTTAAGGATAACTATCAATGGAGAGATCAAAGAAAAAGCAGGAAAGATAGAATTGATGCAAAATCTTCCAGATGACATGATTGTGAAAATTCTCTCGAGATTACCCGATAAAAAGGAATCAGCCTTCCTCTAAAAAAATTGATCAAGATATCAATAGACATTAAAAAAAAAATCACTTGTAATGGAATGAAAGAAAATTATCTCGCAATGGGATTAGACCTTGGTGTTTCGATTTCAGAATAGAAGCACCTATAATTGAGAAGGTTTCCTCTATTTTAGCAATGGAGATAATAAATATTGTTTTTCAATTAGTTTGTATGGCTAAAGTTATAACAATATGTAAGGACGATATAGTCATATTTGAAAAGTTTTAAAAATATTTCAATTGACCATATTAATCAAAAAGTAATAAGTTAAAAATTTTAACTTAACTAATTAAGTAGATTTTGACAAAACTTAAATTTTTAATATAAGATTATTTAAGTTATTAAACAAACTTTTTATATTAAGTACTACAACTTAATTTTTTAAGTTACTTAAATATGTTATCAAACACCTCTTTATTCTATTTTATTACTTGCAAATGATCATGCTCGTGTAATGCTTTTAGTATTTTAAACTAGTATCCAATAAATCAATACATGAAATCTTTAATACCAAATGAAGCATGTTGTTGCTATTCACCATGTAAAAATATAATCTAACATTAAAATTTATATGATTTTGTTAATACCTTTAACAATACCTTGCTCACAATGTAACACAAGTAGCAAACTATAACAAACTAATCAACTCTGCTATGTACACATTGATTGTTGCATCCAGCTGAGCCATCACCAGTGGACCATGAAATCCATTACTTATCTATGTATCACTTTTAATAAACATTTCATTTTTATCTTTATTCATGAAAGAACATGTGTGAATGAAAAAATATATAAATAATAACTATTGAAAAATCATATTCCCCATTCGCTCACTATAAGGATTTGCACATGCAAAAATCTGTTATCCAAGCAAATAATTGTTAAATACATCGGTTTTATTATATCACTACATAAAATGTTTTGCTACTTCCAACTATATATAAGGCTCCGTTTGTTTGGTGGAAAACAACTTCCATCGAAAAATCAATTCTTGAGGAAGTTATTTTTTAAAAAATTATTTTTCAAAAAATTATTTTATGTTATTTGGCAATTACATGAAAAAACAGTTGAAAAATATATTTCAGAGTTTGTTTGATACAAAAACTTAAGATACAAAAATAGTATATGATTGTTACATCAACAAGTTTTGAGAAAATTTTAAAAAGGTAAATTCATAATTTCACAATATAAGATATATTTAGAAAATTTTAATAAATTTTCATAAATATTGATTCTAAAATTTTAATTCAAAAAAATAAAATGTACTTTTTTAACCATCAAACCAATTCATCAAAATTACTTAAGACAAATCAAGTCAATATTCACATTTAGTTAAAAAAAAAAAAATCTAAGTAATCCTAGCATTGTTATTTTGGTAACTCAATTAAGAATTCTTTTTTTTTTTTTTTTTTAGAAATTGAACTGATAATTTAGTCTAAAAAATAATTTTATAAATTATTAGTTATCATTTATAGGTAATTATTCATTTGGTTTCAAAAGATTAATGTTGTAATAATTTGTAACTAATTATTCACTACAATTACCAATAAAATTTTACAACTAATTAAATTTATAAATTATTGATTTAGTTGCAAATGAATAGTATTGGAAAAATAATGTATTTATTCATGAATTAATTAATTTTAAATTTTTTACAAAAAATTATAGTGTTTGAGATAATAGTAAAAAAATAAAGATAAATTATTGAAATATTTATTATAAAAATAATTTTAAGATGTAAAAATGATTTTTACGAATATTTCATGTATTTATAAATCAAAAAAATCAAATATTAATAGAAATAGAGAAAAAATAATTAAATAATAAATAATTATTGATAATGAATAATTAAAAATTAATTTGATATATTTTAAATAAAAAGAAGATAGAGAAAAAATTGTTAAAATATATCGAGAAAGAAGTAAGTAACGTAAGAGTGAGACAGGTTTGTGAGAAGGAAAATGTTTTTCTCTTTTTAAGTTGGGAAAACATTTTCTCAAAAATACTTTATCATTTTCTATTAATTTTTTTTTAAAACACGAAAAAAATACTGAAAAATGAGAAAAACAATTTAACAAGTTTTTGAAACTTGTTTTTCCTCAAATAAACACAGCGTAGAAAAAACTCAGTTTGCCACATACGATGCTACTCCTCCCATGGTGTAGCTTAGGTAGCTAGCTAGTCCATCTCTAAACTTCATTCTCATACAAAACCAACTCTTGATAAATGTTCTATTTTTAGCTGAAAAATTCTCCTCGATCTGAACTCAACCAACTCTCTTATCTCCTCATTTGCTAGTCTTGCATATTTTATCACTCTATTACGGTTAGTAAGTCCCCAACATTTAGATCTGCATTGAAAGTTGCAACATTAATCTCTACGTGAAATTTGATGTAACGTAATTAAATCTATCATATTGGTTCCTAGCATAATCTCCAACTAAATTTTTTTCAAAAGCATAAACAAGACTACAAATAGACTAACTGTAAGCTTCTTGGCTAGTGCGACACATATTGTAATAATGATACATGTTGCCATTTAACATCAAGATATCAAGATATTCTTCGATCATTGTAAAAATTCTACCGAGCCAATGAGCTAATTCTTAATTTGTACTTACAAAAAAAAAAAAACTTAATTTCCTAATAAACCAATTTCTAAATAAATTAACATAATAAATTATTTTTTAAAAAAACTTAGTAATTAAAAGAAGATCAAATAAAAAAATACAACTAAAAAATTACGTGCTATGCATCCCGCGTCAGTCTTTCAGTGCCTGTTATTGATTATATGTGGGACTATGATTAGCAGCTTGAGTGACAAGGTCGGATGGGCGCTTCACTGCATAATTACGCCACAGGCTAACTTGTGGTAATATTGTGTTGCTGTTTCGGGACAATAATATTCTACAAGACAAGACAAGTTTCAACCCAACTTATAAGACTTTTACAATGTAGAACACTATTACAACAAACTGAAAATATATTGCAATAGATTTTAATCTCTTTTACAGATAAATATTTAAATATATGTCAAGAGTTATCTATATCCATTAACCAGCCCACACCCATCCATCTATTTCAAAGGGGGGTATGGATCGTAAAAAATTAATTTCATCATTAAGATTTTTTTTAGAGCCTCATCTCAAATTTCAAATTAAAAAAATTAAGAAAATGAAACAAATGTTCTTGAATCCTTATCCGAGCCATTAGCAATAAGAAGTTCATCAGTAAAACTGGTGTACCATATCGTTGCACGACGAAAGAGTTTTATTGACATTAATACTTTTTCAAGGGTGGTCCTTTCGATGACAGGCCATCTTCAAAGGGACTGGTGGGTCTGAAAATGAGCCATTAGCAATTTGCTGGAATATCCACTTATTAGCTGCCTCAGTGAAGTGCACACCGTCCCAAATTACACGAACCGATGGATCTTTGCATGAATTAGCTATCACCACCTCCGTTCCATTCACAGTGATCTTGGCACCACATCTTCTCGCACTATTGTAGTTGTATTTCCCACCATGACCGCAACATGCTACAAAAGGTTGCTCGAATCCTGCCCAAAAATTAATGTATATTAATTTATAACATTTACGTACTTCATTTATTATTATGTAAAATTAATAAGCCAAACTATATAAGTAAATATATTTACCAAATTTTTTGGCTTGGGTGATTAGGGTATACTTCAGTGAATAGATGTCAACGAAAGTAATTGCAGCCTGGGGAAGATCTTTCCTGAGTTGAACCACAGCTTCTTTCAATTTTTGGTTGAAAAATTGGGAAACCTCATCGAATGGGCTGGCACATCCATATTTATCTATTTGGGCTGCTGTGATTAGAAACTTGTCTAAAGAGTATGGCAGGCAACCCACTGGGCCAGTGTTATGTATCCAAAATGATCTTCCTCCTTCAGCATAAATTTGCTGCACATGTATAATAATGTGTACGTAACCTTTTGGGATAGTTTTTTCACAAAAAAAAAAAAAAAAAAAAAAAAAAAACCTTAATTGTAACAATTATTAGAAATATGCATGGGATTGGCATTGATCCTTGATTATGCCTAGCCTTTCCTTACCTTCACAGCGCTGGAGAACTGGCCTAACATATCAGGAACGTTTTCCTTGACTTGTTCTGTGGTCATGTTAAGCTTGTAACCAGCAGTGAGATCATTTTGGCCAATGTCAATGGTGTACAAAGCTTTCGAAAAATAATCTGCCTTCGGCAACAAAGTCTCAAAGATCCCCCCTGTCTCACATTATTCAACAAAACCTTATAGGATCGGTTTTTCCAAAATAATATAACTAACGTCTGAAAACAAAAGAAAACAAAACTAGCATTAGTTGCAACAATTATAAGAAAATATGCATGGGATTGGCATTGATCACCTTGACTGCGGTGTATCTGGGATCTTTTTTTGAAATCTGAATACTGAACGGATTGAACGTCTAATGAAATGGGACTGTATCCACTCTGCGACTTGGTGGTGTTTTGAGGCCTGATGGTTGACCCAGCAGTGGCAAAATTGGCTCCATGGCTGAAGTTGGAACCCACAGAATCTAGATATGCACTAAGATACGGTAAACCAAGGCTTTCCGCTGCAAATTCAAATTTTCAAATTTGTGAATGTTTTTATTATTATTATTATTGTTAATGTTGAATCAATTAAAAAAAAAAAATTGAACTCCCATGTCAATATGAATATAATAAAAATATTTGATTATAAAAATTTTAAAAATTTGCGACCTCAAATAGAAAAATTAAAATTTAAGACACTTGAATAAAAAAATAAATACAACCAACTCTGTAATAATCTCAATAAATAATTTATCTTTCTATATTAAAAAAAAAAAAAACAAAATTTATAAGGTCAGTCAAACATTGAAAATATTGATGGAAAAGAGATTCTTATAAATGATATCGTTATCGAATCCAACACATATGATGAGCCAGGTTTGTCTTGTTTTTCAATATTTTACCGTACGTTGCTGCGCAGGCAACATGACAAAAAAATGGAATAAAAAAGTACTAAACAGAAGTGTGGTAGGATGGACGTACCGATGAAATCGATGATCAAACGGCCATCGGAATAGCGTCCTGCAGGGTGGTGGAAGTGTGTCTCTCCATTGGGCGAAGGTGCTGGTCCGAATGCTGCTGACAGACCACCCGTGTCCGAATTTGAGTCACCGAAGTTGAATATTGCAGGGAAATTACATGAAGAAGCAGTAGAGAGCATAAGGGGACCCAATGGTAGTGAGCCCGTCCATATCAAGAGGCCCAACATAACATGTCTTGGAGGGTGTGATCCCATTGTTAGAATTGGGAATAGGAAGAGATCAATAGAGAAGGAAAGAGGAGTGAGGTTAACAAGAGGCGGAGGAGAAGGAGCAGGAGGAGGAAGAGGATATATATATTCTTACCCTTTTTATTTGTATTGCTACACTAAAAAAAATGGGCTAAAAGAGATAAATTTCCTAAGCTTTAATTTATTTAAAAATCATTCTTTGAACTTTTAATTTATTTTTTTATTTCTTTTAATTTAATTTAATTTTTTTAGATTTAATCATTTTCAATTTTCTATCATTTTTTTTAAATAATTATATAAATAGTCACATGATAAAAAAAAAACGTTTAATGAGATTTATCTAAAACTCTTCAAAAAAAAAAAAAAAGACTATCCTGGATTATTTTTTATTTTTTTATCTTTAATATTTAAAAAATAAATTAATATAATTTTTTAAAAAAATTTGATTTTTTAAAAATAGGTTAAATTTTCCTGTAATTTGGTTACATACATCAGGGAAGTAAAGAAAAATAAAAGGAAAGGATAACAAAAAAAAAAATTCCTTATTTTAATAAACAATACCTTATTCAACATTAAAAAAAAAAGTGTATCTTTTTTTTTTTTTTTGGTGATAATCAGAGATGATTTTTAGACTAACTAGTACACGAGAAATTTTAAAACAATCAAGAAATAACTGACAATTAAAGTAAGATAATTTTTTTAAAAAAATTTTCTTTCATTTTTGTGTCTATTTTTTTTATAATATAGACGAGAATTTTTTTTATTAATTATTTCTAGAATAAGATAAAACTTTTCCACGAACACCACAATTGAGTTCAAATATCTTTTTTGAAGGATATTAGAACTTTTCCTCTGTAACCTACTGCATTTAAAGAATAAATTTCTTCGGGTGTTCTTTTCAAGATCCGAATTTATAAAAATAATGGAGAGAGTAGACCTCCTAAAAAATAAGACCTACTTCTGAGCTTAAAAAGTCTTCTCCAATTAAAAAATAATCTCTCACGATGACTTGCTTGACTTGTCCTTTTTTAATTAATTAATTCATCTAAAAACATTCGCTCTTAAATAAACAAAAAAAAATAGTAATTCTTCATCACTTTTCCTTTCTTGATTATTAAATTTCAAGAGAAAAAAAAAAAAACCATTATCAAAAATAAATGAATCAGCAGATTTTTGAAAGAGTAATTCTTCAATGGCCTGGCTGCCTATGGCATGCCATCTTCAATGGAATTGGCGGGTCGGAAAAGGAACCGTCCATAATTTGGTCCAGAACCCATTTGTTAGCTGCTTCTGTGTAGTGTACCCCATCCCAGTTAATCCATTCGGATGGATCTTTGCAGGATTTACCCAGTAATATTTCTTTGCCACCCACAGTGTTCTTTGCTCCGCATCCAAGGTGCCTATTGTAATTATACTTTCCACCATGGCCACAACATGCTCTTAACGATTCATTAAAGCCTGCAGTTTCCAACGCAATAGTATATAAGAATACTTAAAATTCATATGGTAACATTTGTTGTTTTCGTTTTTAAATTTTGACACAATATGCTGTTGGTATTTGCATATTTAAAAATAGGTTGTTAATTCTGAAAATTTTAAAATAAAACAAAAACCGCAAATTATATCAAACGAATCTTAATTGCTAAAATTTGAGATAATTAAACGTATCCTCACCGTGCTTTCTTGCTTGACTGATGAGTTTGTACTTGACTGAGTAAACATCGACATAAGTTATTGCAGCCAAGGGTAATTCCTTTCTTAATTGGAAAACAACCTTCTTTAATCCACGATTGAAATATCGAGCCACTTCGTTAAACGGAGACCCACATCCAGTCCTATCCACCTCGGCTGCTAAGATTGGAATGCGTTCCAAGACATAAGCTAGACAACCAAATGGACCTGTATTGTGAATCCAAAAGTTTCTTCCTCCTTGACCATAGACATTCTGTGAGTTAAATATCAATGAGCAAACTTCTTTTAGATGAAGGAAGGTTGGTCAATGCTCATTTCTTTTTAGCTAAAACTTAATTGAGAATTAGTCAACTTGAAGCACATGCATGAATATACTAACCGAAACAATGTTTTTGAACTGGTTGAGCACGTCCGGGACATATGCTTTCACTTCACTGGTACTCATGTTTAAGAAATAACCGCTGGTCAGATCATTCTGACCAATATCGAATGTGTACAAAGCACCGGAGAAATCTTCAGCCTTTGGCAACAATTTTTTATAAACTCCACCTGCAGCAAATAAATGAATCCTAATCAATCTTTTAATTCATGTTCTTAATTGAAAAATGTAAAAGGTCTCTATTTTTTTTTTTTTATTTAAGCCTCTAATAATTTTTTGGTTTGCAATTGTAAATTTCCATGGCTGAATGATAAGCGGTTGAGAGAGAAGGAAAGTTGCAGAGAAGAAGAAATGAGAAGAAAACGGAAAAGAGAATAAGATTTTGGTAAATTATAATTACTATTCACTAGTTGTTACAAAAATATCCAACAACATTTATACTCAGCCTAACTACCTTTCTAACCGACTTAACAACTATTAATATACACACGTGATGTATATACATACATACATTTATAAATCTGTTACTCCCCCTCAAGATGAGCGGATATTAATTATGCTCATCTTGCTAATCAAATCATGGAAGATTCCAGGCTGTAAAGCCTTGGTAAAAACATAGCAATCCGTTGATTAGTGGGCAGAAAATGGGGTTGAACAGCACTAGAAATCATTTTATCTCGTCTACTTCAATGTGTTTGTTTCTTTCATGATAAACTGAATTCTGCATAGATGCAAAGCAGATTGATTATCATAGAACAACAAGACTAGCATAGAATGTGGGATGTTTAAATCCTATAACAAGAACAACAACTACATGATTTAACATGTAACGAGTTGTCATTGCTTTATATTCTGCTTCTGTGTTGTTGCGAGCTACCAAATTTTGTTTCTTGGATTTCTAGCTAACCAAAGAATCACCTAGTAATACATAAAACCTAGAAACTAATTTTTTGATTTTAGGACAACATGCCCGATCAACTGTCCGAAAAGGATCTTAATTTCGGTAAAGAGTTTACTAAAAACAACAATTTTTATCCTAGATCACCATTTAGATACCTAAGAACTCTATGAACTTGTAAATGAATTAAAGATGGTTTGTCCATGAATTGAGCATCATATGTACCGCATAGCAAATATTAGGCCTATCGAAGGTTAAATACAAAAGCTTTCTCACTAGCCGCCTATACTCGTAGAATCACTCGAAACATCTTCTCGAAGTATGTGATAGCTTCGTTTAGGATTCATGAGAATAGATACTCGGTTTGGAATCAAAGAACTCATATTCATCCAATAACTCCAAAACATACTTTTTTTAACAAGTGACCTTACAACTTCAATACCTAAGAAATACTTAAGTGAATTGAGATTCTTAAGATCGAACTTCTTGCCAAGAAACTGTTTAAGATCGCCTATATCATCAGCACAATTGCTACCTATCACAATAACATCCATATAAACTAGCAAAGTAAAAAAATTATACGAAGAAGTGTGCATTATAAACAATGAATAATCTGTCTTGGATCGTTGAACACCATATTCAAGCAAAGATGCGATGAATTTAGCATTCCATTATTGAGAAGCTTGTTTCAAACCATACAAGGATTTTTGTAACTTGCAAACTAGTTTTTTCGAACTATACCCACACTCCCTCTTAAGGCCATAACCAGGAGGTAAATCTATAAATACTATCTCATCCAAATCACCATATAAGAAAGCATTATTAATATCTAATTGAGAGAGGTACTAACCTATAATGGTAAACATGACAAGAAATAATTTGATTGTGGTATGCTTGGCAACAAGACTCGAATGTCTCCTAAAAATCAAACCTTTATATTTGATTGTACTTTTTGGCCATAAGCCTTGCCTTATATCTTTCAATAGAACCATCAACTTTGAGTTTAACCCTATAAACCCATTTACAACCTATAACATGATGACCCACGAGTAAAGGAACCACGAGATCGGGTATTATTTTCCTCAATAGCTAGTAATTTAGTATTCATAGCTTCTTCCCAATAATCAAATTTCATAGCCTACAAGTAAGTGTTAGGTTCAAGTATATGTGTTATGTAAATAGTGAATACAATATAGGAAGAAGAAAGTTAAGAAGTAGATAAGTAAAGATGGAGAGGATATGAAGTGGAATATGCGAGATCACTATAAAGAAGAGGTTTAGATGGAAGAGAATGAGAATAAGTTTTCAAATATGCAAGAAGCTTAATGGATCGAGAGGACTCGTCCGAGTGGTAAATGAGATGAAGTAATGATCGAAGGAAAAGACTCTTGATGAATAAGCATAGGAGAATCGGAGGTAGAAGAGGTAGAAATAGACTCGGTGTAAAAAGATTCGATAGGAATATCATTGAGTAAAATAAGAGCTTATATAGGAAAGACATAATATAAAGGTTGAATGTCTGTAAAATCAAATACATGATATAAAGGTTGAATGTTTGTAAAACCAAACAAGTTAAATGTGGAAGAAGAAGGAGATATGAAGAGAAATTATAAGGAAAAGAAGAGGAGGAGGAAATTGAAGGACAAAAAGGAAACATTGTCTCATGAAAAATAACATCTCTAGAGATTGAAACTTTATAAGTAAATAGATTGAAAACTCTATAACCCTTAATGCCGGAAAAATAACCAAGAAACACAGGGAGTGGCTCTATGATGAAATTTCTTACGATGGGAAACAGGGGTGGAAACAAAACATAAAGAGCCAAAAATCTTCAAATGATCAAGTATGCGAGTGGTAAGAATGACATCCCCTCGAATTTTAGAGGTAAGGATGCTTGGAAAAGAAGTGATCGAGTTACATTGAGTAAACATTGATGTTTTCTATCAACAAAAGCATTGTATTGAGGAGTACCTACACAAGAAAATTGATGAATGATACCTTTAAAAGCATAGAACAAGAGAAGATGAAATTCAAAACCATTGTCAAACCTAACTATTTTGTTGGAAGAATGAAATTGTGCAAGAACCATTTGATAGAAAGAAGGTATAACGGATAAGACATCCGATTTGTGTCTAAGTAAAAACACCAATATGACTCAAGTGAATCATCAACCACTATGAGAAAGTAATGAAAACGACCAATAAAAGTAACCGAATATGATCCCCAAATATCTATATGAATCAAGTCAAAAGGAAAACTTATATTTTTATTATGAATGAGAAATGGTAATCTCTTTTGTTTTGCCAAAAGACAAACGAAACAAGGAGAACTATTATTACATTGAATGACGGAATAATTTTGACTAAGTAATAGAAGTCTTATCATGAAAAACATGACCCAATCTATAATGCCATATATTAGAGGCAAAAGGATTAGTGAATCGGTCTTTAACTATATGGGCAATACAAGTGTGTTTGACGAAGGAAAAAGAGAAGTTTAAAAAGACTAAAACAAGAATAATCCCGCTTGTAGATTAGTAGTTCCAATCATTGTCCTTGAAGGGTTGTCATAAATCACACAAGATTCACCACATAATGTCAATTTGTAGGAAGAATTGGTTATAAGTTTATTAATCGAGATAAGAATGAACTTAAAAAAAGGAACACAAAGTATATCAATCAATATGAATGAAAATGTTAAACAAACTTGACCAATATGAGTTACAATAGCCTTAGGATTGTCATACTAGAAATAGGTTTATAGGAGTTGAAATATTTAAGAGAATAGGATATATGATCGGTAGCTTTTATGTTAAGGATCCATGTATAAGGACTAAACGAAAAGATAAAACCTTATGAGTAACAACAAATAGACATAGCAGAAATGCTACCTATAAGATTGGATACAAGTTGTGACTAAAATGTTATGGAAGGATTGGTTTGATTGGTGATTTATGAGGATGAGGCATGTGAATCTTAAACATTTAAAAGAGCCATGAGTCCGACAACTTGCTCTTAAGTAAAGACAATACTAGGAGATTGACCAAGCCGATTAGAATTTTGAGAGTGTGTAGAGCCAAATTCTTCATGTTCAATAATGATATTATTGACATGACGCGATGAATTGGCATGGCCATGACCAAAATTAGAAATAGGAATAGCATGTCCAATAAAAGCAACATTACTATTGAAACTTTTATTTCTAATAAACTTGAAGTCAACGAGTAAAATCAATAAGCATGTATCATCTCTCCTTACTATGACCGGGCTTTCCATAAGAAGAATAACTAACATCCATTCTTCATCTATTACTGGAAACAAGTAATCTTAGTCGAGACTTTGTTAAGCGGATGATTTATAAGCTCAATAGACCTATGAAATTCTTCTCTCATAGCTAAGCTATAGACTTCATCTAGATTAGAAAATTGCTTCATGACTAGAACCCGTGACTTTTATGAAGCAAATGATTCATTCAATCTATTAAGAAACTTAAACATGTAATCCTTTTCATGAATCTCTACAAATTTCGAAAACACTAATTATTACATTCTCCACAACCGTAGTGAGACAGAGGTTTAAAATTCCTCAATTCTTCTCATACTCCATTAAGTTTAGTGAAATAAGCATTGACGGATATGATACCTTGTGTGATTGAGCATAACAACAATTGTAAATTACAAATTCTAGATTTATTTAGCTATGCAAATCGTTTCTTTAAAACTTTTCAAATTCTCATAGCCGAGTTCATGTAAAAGATTGTAGCAACAATAAGAGGTGAAATAGATCTAAATAACCAAGCAACTATTAGGTTATTGCATCAATTCTAAGAATTAAACAAAGAATCATCATCTTTAGGTTGAGAAATAAAACCATTAAGAAAACCTAATTTATTGCTAATTGAAAGAGTAAGAACAAAGTATCTACTCCAAGTTGCATAGTTCTCTATAGTTGTAGTTAGCTCAAGAGTAATTATCAAAGAACCATGGTGATTTAAATGATGAATGAAGTATGGAGAGTGAGGATCATCAAGCAAAGGTGTTACTTCAGCCATAGAAGATGATTGAAACAATTGAACGTAATTAAAGCAATTTAAGAAACGGAAGAACCCTAGGACATTTTAGGCTTTGATACTATGTTAACTTCCATGGTTGAATGATAAGCGATTGAGAGAGAAAGAAAATTGTAGAGAAGAAGAAATGAGAAGAAAACAAAAGAGAGAAGAAGATTTTGGTAAAATGTAATTACAGTTCACTATTTGTAACAAAAATATCCAACATCATTTATACTCGACCTAACTATCTTTCTAACTAACTTAACAATCTAACCGACTTAACAACCATTTATAGACACACGTGGTGTATAGACAAACATACATAAATTTGTTAGCGATTAAAGTTTTTCATTCCGTTGACCGATCATAAAATCGTTAAAATAATGACACATGTCTTAAAAGTTATAGACACCGACACGTATGTCTACGTGTTTCTTATGTGAATCCAATATGGTATGAGATTAGTCGACGGGACAAAAAAATTAATTATAAATAAAAAATAATAATAATGAAATTTTTTTCTTCTATTAACCAATAATTCAAGATAATTTATAATCAATTAGCCATAAATATACGTGTACCTTGGCTACGGATAATTTGGGATCTACGGTGAAAATCATAGAATTCATTCCATTGAACGTCTAAGGAAATAGGACTAAAACCACTTTGGCGGAGTGTTGTATTCTGGGGCCTAATGGTTGATCCTGCAGTTGCAAAGTTGGCTCCATGAGTAAAGTTGCTCCCCACAGAATCAAGGTAAGCACTTAGATATGGTAATCCAAGGCTCTTCGCTGAAAGTTCATGGTAAAAAGGGGGAAAAGAAAAAAATCAATGTCAACAGTATTAGTCTAAGGATCATGATAGAGCGATTCAAACTCGTTGACACATATTGATATAGAGTAAATTATAAATTATTCCCTGCTCAGCAAATGAATTAATTAATTCCTTGATTTCAAAAATTAATTATTTAATTTTTTTGTTATTTTTAATTTAATTTAATTTTTTTATGTTTTGAAAAATAAAAAAGAATAAAAAAATATAGATAGATTGATAAGAAAAGAAAATATTAAATCAATTATAATCAATACTAATTAAAATAATTAAATAATTAATTTTTCAAATCAAGTAAATTAATTAATTCGTTTCTCGAAATAAAATGGACGAATTTATAATTTACTCTATGGATAATATACATATATAAACTTGAAAATTAATCAAATAAAAAGAAGACTAAAACCCAAAAAAAATACAATAATCAAACTACAAAAATAATACGTTCAAACTTTATGTAAATATAAGGATTTCTTTATTAAAGAACATACAAACACGTGACGAATTATTTCAATAATAATAAGGTATATTAATAAAGCATAAAGCACTATATTTTGGTTGGCTAATCAATGTCAAAAACACAAAAAACAATGATTGATTGTCAGTATGAGTCTTCGAATTTATAATTCGTAAGAAAACGTTTCTAGAAAAGACGGGGCAGTTGGGTAGCTCAAACTTCAGGCCTAATTTGATAAGAAAGGAATTAGGCCTTTGCAGTTTGCTCACAAGATACCGTTCGCTTTTTTCAGTCATATAATTCCTACCTCTTGCTTACTAAGATTCCCTTGATATGACTTTTTTTCAAAAGTAAAAGGTATGATTGGCCCAAAAAAAAAAAAAAAAAAACCCTACTTTTTAACGATAAAGAATCAAAGATAGCATAAGTCATACTCATTCGATTAAAAATTAAAGAAAAATTTATTTAAGGATTTTGTGTGTGTGTGTGTGTGAGATAAAGAACTCGGCAACACACCTTTCAGGCACACGGAAGATGGGTAGTTAATTATTACCTTTGTAATTCTTTGAAGGTAAGGGCAAAAATAAAATAAAAAAGATAGTAAACATTCATGTTTATTTAGGACGTATTTGCATAATTATAAAAGCTTAGGACCAAAACATACTTCTAAATTTACGCGTGGGGAATCTGTATGGTGGAAGCGTGTGTGCGTGTATCATTTCTCTTTAAGAAATGGTGGGTTCAGGCATGCTTCAAAAAGCTACCATTTCATAAAACGGTTCTTCTACATGGTCCATTACGTGACCATTGACCATTTTTATGAATCAGTTGGCTTTAAATCCAAGAACGACCAAATTCAAATAGTTTTTCGTTACTGGATCCCATGGTGGCAAAGCCAATTCCAGTCTGCAGACTGCAGTGCTGCACTTGGTAACCCCACAGCTTTGTCAAGATCACGTAAAAATGTGCAATTGTGCAAGGTGGACCTGACCTATAGGCTATAGCTAGCTCGTTGTAATATGGAGCTACTAGCGTTTTTTGCCTTTCTCGAACTGGTTTTCAATTATTTAACCGATTCGAATCGTCGGTGGGTTTTGTTTAGATACTGCAGCAGCCCACAATAGGCAAAACAAAAATGATTGTGATGCCTGCCAGAGCCAACCTTCACGTGAGTCAGGAAACGTTAGGTTCATTGCTGCAGTATAAATGATTTTGTCCCCTTCTTGCTCTCTTTTTCTTCAAGCTGCTTTGTTCCTTCTTCTCTTGTTTCTTTATTTTACTTTTTCAAAGAACTCCTCTGCTTGCATCTCAGAGTCCGAGTAATATAATAGCTAGCTAGTCCTGAGTCTCTCTCCATTAAAGTTCTACCCGGTTTTAGATAATGAATATAAAGCTTTAATAAAAAAAATTCTATCCAAAAACCCATTAAAATTAATTCTTGTACTGTTTTCTTATTCAAGTGAATTGCATGCAACTCATAAGTTAAAAAAAATTTAAACTAAACTGCGTACTCTTTGGTATCTTAAAAACACGTGATGAGCACGTTTTACTAGAACGAAGGCTTTTTATATTAAACGTTAATTTATTTTATTTTAATAAATCATTTGCACATATAAAGGCTATTTATATTAAACGTTAATTTTTTTTTAATAAATCATTTGCCCATCTCATATTTAATTTAAGACACTCTAAAGGAATTTCTCAAAAAAGAAAAAGAATCCATAAAGGATGCACGTGGTCTCCTTATTCTAAAAACTCATTTACAATTAATTACATTTTATAGAGTTTGCATATATAATTTTTTTTTTTTAATTTAGTTGCTGTCTATTTGTGATAATTAATGGCACAAACCATCAACATAAAAAATCTAATTTAATACATAAAAATATATTGAAAATAAATTCTGAAATTTAAGTACGAAATTGAGTTATTTCAGAAGAATATTGTTTGCTTAATTTCATATATAATAAATTAGAATTATAAGTTAAATCTAATTGATTATTTAAGAAGTTAACCTCCATATGCAGTTGCAACCCATATGCGAGTTTAACGATTAATTATCCAAGATCTATTCTGCTCCTAACTGATTCTTGAGTTTACACCAACGATTAAAAATATTTGCTGCCAATTTTATGTATAGGCATGATTTTTGTAAGGTAATGTATTGAATAATCTAAGAAATTGTTATCATTAAGCCGACACACAATGAAATGAATATATATGTGTAGGAAGTACCGATGAAGAATAAAGATGAGTAGGAAGTACCGATGAAGTCAATGATGAGGCGGCCATCACAGTAACGTCCGGCGGGATGGTGGAAATAAGACTCTCCATGCGGAGGAGGAGCTTGGCCAAAGACTGCAGATAATCCACCGGTGTCTGAATTTGAGTCTCCGAAGTTAAAGATTGCTGGGAAATGACATGGAGAACTGGCAAAAGCCAGGCAGGGTACTGTGGAACTAACTAACAAAGCAAAGATAGAGACAACAAAGATTGAGGGAGGCGACTCCATTAATTACTGTATAATTATCACACTACAGAAAGAAGATAATAAGTTTGGAGTAGAAGGAAACTGTTGCTGTATATAAACTTGTAAAGGTACGTGTTGTTTGGTAACTGCAAAATGGAATTGGAAAATGAAAATTGAAAGTTTTATTCTTATTTGGTAAGTGTTTAGTAAAAAAAAGGTAGTGGACATAAAAATGAAGATTAAAAATAAGAATGAAAATTAAGTATATTTTTATTTATATCATATGGAAAGGGAGAATGAAAATAAGGAATGGAAATAATTTTTTTTTCAAAATAATAATTTATTATTTTTATTTATTATGTATTAATTATTTTTGTCGTTATCACCATCTTCGCCGCTATCACTTCCATTGATGATAGTGACAAACAAAATTCAAAATTTTTATTATTATTATTATTTTACCATCACTCATCCTCCATTACGACTATCATTTTTATTATATCACTATCATCATCACTATTCTTACACTATCACCTTTTATGGTAGTAGTATAAATTTTTTAAAATATATTATTTCTATTTACGTACTATTATTACTACCTATTAGTATATTAGTGTAAGTGTTCAAAATCCAATTTGTTTGAATAGTTTGATATATTATATTATTGCATTTCAATATTAATAAAAAAAGTCTTTTTATGAATACTTGTTATTTATAATTTGATAGAATTAGATAAAAATCTATATGATATGCATTGAATTAATGATTGATCAATAGATATGAGACAAGTATCAATGCACTTAAATGATATCATTAAATGTCCTAAGTCAAAACATTGTTAAGTTTGAATATTAACAATATGCGATAAGATTTGTAAGTGTTATACTATTGCTATAATTAAGATAGCAACGAGTAGATCTCACACTTACTAATATAGTAATGCCAAAGTAAGCATTCGGTGAATAATATTAGAGAATATATCACTCGAACGTGACTTGCTATGAAAGCCTATTTGGTATTGTCTATGAGAATCTCATACGAGTTAGATATAAGTAGTCATTTGACTTGAAGTCATCATGGTTATCTCATTAAAGGATTGATGTATTTTGATATTCATTTTGATGGGCTCAATAAAAAGTCTGCATGTGGATAATTCGTTAGGTGTATTGAGAATATAATGAAGATAGGTGAATGATTGAGATAGGACATGTCATTCCATATATGCTAAAAGAATTATCATATTGTACTTCAATGAATGTCTACTCGAGAATCGTGGCCACGAGTGGAAGTATACTAGTAGAAAATAATTGATTTACTTGAGAGCTAACACATTTGGAGATTGAAAAAAACTTATGTGATCACAATCAAATAGACAACAAACCAAGTTCGAGATCACACTATGATAAATTGACATGAGGATCGAATTGTATGAAAACCATACTAGTGAAAGGTTATCACGGATCAAGTAATCTTGCTAAAGAATAGGATAGTCATGATATTTGCTAGAGATCAATCTTGATTTATATACCGAGAGATAAAGGAAGTGTCTTTTACTTCTCGATATACCGTTAACATCTTTAGGAGCCTATCGAGTCACATGTATAAGTTTAAACATTCACACATAAAAAGAGAAACGAAGATTTTGGAAAAGGTTTCCTATTTCGGAAATTAGTTTCCTAATTTCGAAGTTAGTTACCTAAAATGAAAATCGGTTTTCTAATTTAGGTTTAATAAAGTGCAAGAGTAACTTAGGAAATTATTTTACGATGTGGACCTTTCTTAAAATACTTAACTTATTTGGATGGTCGAAATTGAATGTTGAGTTATTGAGCCAAAAGAGTTTAAGCCAACAAGTTTAAGTAAAAGCCTATATGATATTTTAAGTGAAGGGATAATCTTAACAACTTAAGAATAAAGTTCAAGGTTTACAAGGATAAAATCAAACAAAACCCATATAAGTTACAACTTCTTGACTAAAAAGAAGTGTTAGTCACATATATAAAGAGAGGGAGAGGGAGACGCTACAAGCTAATTTATTAGAAAGAAAATTACGTCTCTCCCTCAAAGAAAAACACGCCACCCTCCTAAAATTACACTAACTACCTTGTATGATTTCTTGAGAGAAAAAGATACATAGCGAGAAAAATTAGAGCTAGCATTCTATATTTTTTTAATGCTTTTTCTATGGGTGTTTAGCTATGTGGATCATTAGTAGAGATCGGATGCTTGGACGGTTTTATTCACAAATTTGATTCTACGCTCTAAGAGGTAACATTTAATTCATCTTATTTATATTTAGTTAGTTGATTCAATGGCTGATCTTAGGACTTTAGATGGAGGAGAAATTTTTTTTTAATTCATTTCACACCTTTATAAAATGCATGATCCTTCATTGGATAGCAAAGCTCTCATTGAACCTTTAATTGTATTGATATTAATTTTGATTAACTATAACAATTGTTAATTTCTACATTATAAATCTAATAATTTTTGGTATTTTATAAATATTTAAAACTGATTTTGAACTTATGGGAGGGCGCACGTGAGGTCGACATTGGGTATTGGCCACAACGCACGCAAGGCCAAGCGTGCCTCACACTCGCCAAGCCATCGGCTAGTAGGCTAGGCGTGCAAATAGGCACACCCGGCCTATGACATGCCAAGCGCACGAAGGTGAGACCACGGCCAGCAAGGTGCCTAGGCTAGTGCTAGGCCGGATGCGCAAGATCGAATTAAAAATATAATTCTCATTAGTGGAAAAGAAAAATCTATGCTTAATTAAAAATATAAATGACGAGAAAAATCTATATATATATATAAATATAGAGAAAGAGATTTTAATTTTCATTTTTATTTTATATTATAAATGAAAAAAAAATCTATGTTTAATTAAAAATATAATTTATTTTCTTACCTGAATTTTTTTATGATAAATATAAACTTAAATACTTAAAAAACTTCATTTCCTCTTCCCACCAAAGCAAAAACCTTTTTTTTTTTTTTTTGTGCTTTCCCACTAAACAAAAATTTGTATTTCTCGTACATGGAAAAGAAAAAAAATACGAAATTGTTTTTACCATTACTTTTCATTTTTATTGGATTCCATTAAAAATGACAGAAAATCTATGTTTATTAAAAATATAATTTATTTTCTTAACCGAATTTTGTTTTATGATAAACGTAGACTTAAAAAATTAATTTATTTCCTCTTCCCACCAAAGCAAAAACCTTTTATTTTTTTTATTTTTTTGTGCTTTTCCACCAAACAAAAAATTTTATTTCTCGTATGTGGAAAAGAAAAAAAGATTCAAAATTGTTTTTACTATTTTTAGGTGATATTATATTAATATTTATTAAATTGTAAACTTTTAAATAAGATTATATTAATATCTTGCTATAATTTTCTTGATTTTCAATTACAGTTAATGTATAATGTAGAATCCATATGTGATTGTCTAAAAAAATCATTCATGATTACAAGTTTTAATTGAGTTTGAAGGTTAATTTAGTGATTTTCTTGTAATAGTCAAACATAATGAATTTTTAATACCTACAATAAGGGAAATGTAGATGTCTTAGAAGTAAAATAAAACCAGTAAATTCTCTCCAGTGGAGCACGTTGGAGTTGGGACAATAAGAGCAGAGATGTGAATGGATCGAATCTTAACCAAATCTGATTTAGTTGAATGCATATAGCAAGCAATTTTTATGATTTGAGTCCAATTATTATACGAATTCATTAACCTGTTTATAAAATAAACCAAACATGAATTTATTTTCATCCGATCCGATAATATAACCCGATTCAAAATAAAAAATAAAATTATTATTAATAAATATATTATTAAATATTTAAATATGAAAAAAAAATACATGTAGCCTCTTAATAAATATGAAAAAACAAATTGGGGATAAAATTAAAAGAATAAAAGAAGATGTAAGTGCAAAATTGAGAGAAAACAAAACGAATGAGTATCAAAAAAGAAATCCATGTATTTTTATTATTTGGGCAAGTTTTTGACGTGGCATTTTGCTTAATTTTTAATGAATTTTTAATACGTTCTAAATACATGTGTCTTTAAATTATGCTTCAGATTTCATAATTTTCTAACTTTGTTTGGATTCATTTAATTTTTTTTAGTTTATGTTACATATGTGATTTTTTTTCAAAAATATATTCGATTAATGCTATTTATTTTGATTTACTTTAGTATATGCCAAACTATACATTGCCTCTAAGTTAAAATATTTGATATCAATACATCTCAAGAATATGAGAACTATAGTGTTTAACACTTATAATTTTATATGATGAAATTTATTTCTTCTGATTTATTTGGTAGATAACTATACCGAACAGAGATCAAGGCAAGCAAGTTATGGAGGTTGAAGTTGCTACAAAATCAAGTTTTCTTGGACAAAGAAAATTGACATCAAAGATACGGCAAGATTTTGAAAAGTGCAAAGGACCAAATGGAAAGGATGTTGCTAAGTGTAAGTACGGTAAGAAAGAAGCTGTAGGCTAAAATAGTAAAGAAACTGCTCGCTTGAGAAATGTTAGGTGGATGTGTGGTAAGAAAAAAAAACATAAAGCTAAAGGCTAACATATGTTAATTGTGATATATTTTTCTATCCTTGTAAAAATTGCTCATGATGTTCAATATGTTCTAGCAACTAATGTTGCTTCCAAAACTACATTCAATATGAAAACTAGAGTAATTAATGATTATCGTACATATTTATTATAAAAGTTTTGAATGCAATAACTACTACAAGTAACTAGTTTTTAAATTACAACATAAAATGTATCATATTTCATTTAGTTAAATTCATTATATTTGCACTCTTTATACATCAATTAGTTATGAAGATTATTGTTTGTCTGTTTTTTTTTAAATGCGTTTATATTTTTTATATGATAAGAGTTATTATATAGTTGAGTAATTAATATATTCAAAAGTGATTATTCTATTTGATTCAAACTGGATGATATTAAAATTGCTTCATATATTGATAAATTTTTTGAACTTGTTTTTGTAAAC